TGAAGGTAAGATGGTAATTATTGTAAAACATGACAGGATATATGATACATATGTTTTTAGGTTCTAATTCTAGCTGTCTAACTGTCTTACTACCTGAGGTCTTAACACCATCTGAGTGACATCACTTTGTGCATGCCTCCTATTAGACTGAGTCTGCTTCCTCTACAATGCTGGGTAGCAGGATGTGTATAAAACTTAATTTACAAGCGCCAAATGCTTCTCCTTTCTGCCCGATCCACTTAACTTCAAATGCACCTCCAGGATTTTAAAAGCTATCAATTCAGTTTGCTTTTATTAAGAAATAATAAAAACAGCGACCATGAGGAGCACAAAAATATCACTGATTAAACCTTCATGGATTTTTGTGTTATTTACTCTGATTTTCCATGTCCATTATTTCTCATATGGTATTTAAGACTGCAGTGATAAAAAACAGTTAAACTGGTATTGTTGCACATGTAAATATCCTTATTTAACAGTATTAGAAAAGAACTCAGGAATTTAAGACATCAACAGTTCATTGACTTAAAAGGGAACATATTTGAAAAAGACTGAACATTTTGGTAAAAGTGTACTGTACTCTGAAGCTTTACATCACTAAAAATATGTATAATTATGAAGATAAACATATTTTGGGAAAGATATGAAAGGGTTGCATATAGAGAGTAAAGCAAGTGCATGATGTGGTTCCTGAAACCAAATAGGCCAAGTGGAAGATTTGGGAGTACAATGATTTATAAATAAAGATCCACACTTTCTCACTCTCTAAATGGAGAGTGAGAAGCCAGCCAGGGACAAAAATGGAGAAAAGAAGAGGGCAAGAGGGGAGCTACCTGCATTTACCTTTTCATAAACATAGAGTTTCACTCAGCTAGCAGGGTTGGCATGACCTCTCTGGTCAGTCAGAGCCACTGATGGAGATAAACCAAACTGACATCATAACATCTAAGCCGGAACAACATCCTCTTTCCCTTTTCCTGTCTCTGCCCCGTTTTGCCTTTTCTTTCTCTGCTCCCTCAAAGACACTGCGCCTTTGCTAACACAGCCATCTCTGATTATACCCTCTTTCTCTCTTTCACCTCCTCTCCCAACCCTCACAGTCTTGTCTCCTTTCCACTGATTAGCCATGCAACACCTTTAATAACATCCATCAGCCCACCACTTTCCCACCCTCTTACACCCACTTCATTTATACGGGGAGTGAGAATCACAGACGGCAAGTAATTTGGGATAAAAAGAAGATGGATGTGCCTCTGTGTGAACAACATGCTCAAGAGCCCCTACAGCAGACAGTAGATGGAGAGTAGAGGACCTTTGGGTTTGGGACTTCTTTGTGCTTTTTCCATCTTCATTCAATACACTTTACCTTAAAGGATGGTGTTGTTACCCGCACAGACAATGTTATACTTGGTTACAAATCATTTGCCTCTTCTCTTTCTAGATAATGAGAAACAGCCAAAAATAGGAGACGGCATAGAGAAACCATTTTAAGGTTTTAACATGGACATGATGCATTCATACATTTTGTCATAATACAGCCACAAACCACTACGTATTCTAGGGATTTCTTGCAATAGATCAATGGAAAGTAGAGCACAAACCTAAGTGAAAGGAATAGGACACATGGTTTTTAAAATTATTTACAAGTAATAATCGGAAAATGTTGCCATTCATTTGTGTTCAGCTCACTTTACTATGACACACTAGAGATAAATTACAAAGCATCCAACGCCATAGCCATAACATTAGGGAACAAACAGCATCATAAAGGTCAAGAAACACACAAGACTGGTCAACATGTGATAAAGTTTGAGGCAATAATCAAGCCAAGCTTTGAAACATCTCACACAGCATTCATTGTTCAATGTGTCATCTGAGAATGGGAATAATATGACACAGCCGCAAAACTACCAAGACCTGGCCGTCCACCTGAGCTGTATAGTTCTGTTCAATCTGGAAAAATCCGAATTAAAACATGGCATGTAAAGATAATTAAAATTAAAATTACAGTTACAAACCACAGATGTGCTCTTCAAATTATTATTATTATTATTATTATTATTATTATTGTCGTTTTCATAAAATGATCCCATTTCAAACCTTAACGAGGTCAACAGTAACTTTTTACCTCCTCTGACTGATGGTGAGACAGAAAGGTTCACGTTGTTCTTTGCACACAGCTGGTACTGAAAATAAGGTGTCACACCGGCTCATTGTCACTGTTTGAATGAAAAACTGGCAAGCTGAAGGGAACTTTAAGCTGATGTCCTTCTGCAAGAAATGGCAAAAAAAAAAACAAAAAAAAAAACATTAATACCTGTGAGTATTGAAAGAAAAACATATGAAAATAAACTTATTTCTCTGCAGATTTTGACTAAGTTTGTCAGAATATTGTGAATACCTGTTAAAGTATGATACTGCAAGCCACTGCTGTACTCCCAGCTTTACTTTGGCTGCCAACGTCACAATGAAAGGTCAATTCAACTAAAATCTTTAAAGAGTGAACTCTGCATTTATGGATGTTAAGATTACAAAAGATGGCATCCAATCGGCCAATACTGCATCACTTTTGGGGATTTGTCTAGCTGTATTTATTACATTATCAAAACAAAAGGTGGAGAAAAGACACAATGATTGCCTTAGTCTCTAAGCTTTCTCACCTTCTGCACCCAGCCATTGTTGTATCAGCTTCAAAGGCCATCAGTGACTAATGACATCATGACTACATGAGGACAAACCTCTCACTAGATCATGTACAACCTCAGGGTCATTGTGTTCTTAACATATGTCCTGCCAACACTGAGAAAGGAGATTAGTAGAGCAGCTGACATCAAGGCTGAATGAGTACAAAGATTTTGTTCCTTAACACAAGGCTCCACTTTAAATACACTGGATGCAAATGCAAATGAAATATTAATAGACATCTAAGAGGAAGGTTATTTCGTCTAGAGCGCATGCATTTGTTGGCGCTCATCTGCCATGATGGGGCTGATGGTAAAAAAGTGCACACCCCTCAAGGCCTGGTGACATGGACAACTGCAGAAGGTGTGTCCTCAACAATCACATCTTTTTAGAAAAGGACCAGACCAGGGAACTAAATACAACAAACGGCAGCAGCCTAAAAATAATTACAAAACCTGTAGATGACTTTATGGCTATTCAAGAGAATCATCAATTAGAAGAAGATTACACTGATTTATAAAGGTTGCAGTTCTTTTTTGTTTTTTTTTATGATCCACTGTTATCTTTTTTGAGCTGGTTCAACAAAGTCTGCTCTATCCACAATTTGCAACAATGGCCTCACTCCATGTTAAAAAAAAAAAAATTGCATTGGAAATATGGTGGGAAAACAAACAGTGTTCGTCAGCCTCCTCAATGCCACACTCTATTCTCATTTTCACTTTCTTCACAGCCTAACATCTCTCCTACATACACATACCGTGTTTGCCCATGGACACTTTTCATCAATGCACACAACATCTTTTCTTGCATCTCATCGATTCCCCTTATTGAAAGAAGCCTCATTTGCAGTCTCCTTCTTGACATTTTTTCCCTCTCCTGTCTCTTTCTTTTCCAAACTCTTGACAGGCTGTGCAGAATTTGGCAGTTTGCTGTTCTCCCCTAATCCTTTGCCAGACTTTCCTCCTTCACAAATATACAAGGATTTTAGAGGAAGTGCAGTCAGACATCAGATGGCCAGAAACAGATTCCAGCTTCTTATATACAGTTCATAAGTGATTAAAATAAAAATGAGCTTTTTTAGTTAAATGGAAGTTGTGATGCAAACCATATCTATGCTTGTCTTTCTATTTAACATTAACCAGAATGGGGGGAAAAACATACTCTTGCTATAGTACAAAATACCAATGTCAGTTTATTTCTAATCATTATTTAACTTGATAAAATATAACCTACCAATAAAGTCATTTCTGTAAATTCCTGATAGGAGGCAGTATGTAGCAAGCTAAGTAAGAAGGGTAATGTGCAGAAAGGAGAACTATTTACAATATATTCTCTGGGTTTTCAATGATGTTTATTCTTCAGAGGAGTTGCTTGTGTTCAGTACTTCATGTAAGAAGAGTAGACAGATTGTGTTGTGCATAAACACCTTCATTTGAAAACGGATTCAACTGATTTGTTTTGCACCCCACTTTGCAATGGGCAAGGGATGCTGCAGAGAATAGCAGCAACATTTTGACTCTCTTAGTGAATGATGTCATGACTCACCTATATATTATAAAGAATATTTCACACAAATCATGCTAATTGAAGCGGGAAACTTAGTTCAGAAAGTTCACATGGAATATGGCTTAATTCATTTTAACCTGGCTGACTAGTTCTTCTTCAGGGTGACTTGGGAAAAATCTGCAAAGGTTTCCCAGTTATTCAGGGAAATAAAACATGAATGTGGTGAGTTAGGAGAACAAGGGCAGATTGCACTATCCAAACTATATATCCTTCTGTAACCTTTAAAATTGCTTTATTATCTGCCACAACTGCCTGGAATAATAACCAGGGAAACGCACTCACTATGGGTTCACTTGAACAAGTAAACCCTGCCATGAATCCACATGTTGCACATGTTACAGGTCCCGAGTGTCAGAACTGCTATAACAGTGATGAGCACAATCTGAAGGATAATGCAATGACGACGGAAACATCCAGATTGCGTTTTTCTTTATTTGTTTACAGACAAACCTTGTATAGTGTACACAGTATTAATGTTTTGCATAACCATTGTCTTATAAGCCTGGTTTACTTTTCTCACAGGTAATAATTAACTTCACACAGTTAGTAAGATATAACGGCCTTCTAATTACTTTCCCTCGCGGGACTTTCCCAGCACTGCCAAATTTACCCTCGGTCTGATAAAATTGGCAACTATTGGTAAAACAATACACAAAAACCATAACACAACATACACAGTATACTATATATTGGCCAAATAAGAGGTAAACATCTTACAGAGTATTTTTGGTGTGTTTTCACCGTGTACTGACCTGAAGGATATTAAAACAGAAGTCAACAATGACGACCGAGGCGCTGCCGTTAGCATCCAAATTGCGGCAAACCGGAACTCCGCCCCAAAACCAACCCGGAAGCAACGCCCCCCAAACAAAGGTTCCGCTTCGTCACTGCTGCTATCATCCCAACCTCAGGAAAGCGCTATAGATGCAGGCAGATTATTAAGCCGAAATGCAAGCAAAATATAATTTGTTCATTTTTTGGGGAAAAAAATAGAATAAATTATACATGAAAATATTTAAAAATTATAAAATAACCCAAATAATGTGATGGCATTTTTAGGTGCACCACACACAGGCATCATTTGGTCAACACTAAGTCCAAGCAGTGAATGTTTATTAATTTTAACAGAAAAAGTGATATGCAGTGCAGGACGGAACAAACTAACATTTCTAGCGCTTCATCAAGTTAAGTTACATGCAACTCACAAAATGAATTCCTGTGTTCTGTTTATAAAGTTTGTAGCAGCAGAATATAGTATTTAGGGAAAACATGAATGGAAATCCATTAAAAATACTTTGGTTAGGAATAAAATAAATTGGTGCCTCTAAGATAATCATTATCTTTGTCACTTCCACTCAGCATCTACGTTAGCATCTGTCATGGGCTGGTTCATCAGTTATATTCCGGCTCATACAAATAAGATGGGACCCTTTCCTCCCATTATCTGAAAAAAAGTTCTAAAATGCTTTTGAAAACTTTCAAATATCTGTGAAATTTTGAGTTCTAAGAACAATACTTTTTTTTTTTTTTAACTTTTTATTATTATTATCATTTTTGGAACTGGGCCATTGTTGGAGAGGAAATCCACCATAGCCATTAACTTTCTAAGGGACTTTGGAGGTAGGGGTAATTATTTACAGTCATTTTACAGCACAGTCCATTTTCCATTTTACTGTCTGATGGAATAGAGACATCATGACAAAGTATCAAAACAGTAAATGAGATGGCCTTAAAGTAACAGCCTTATGCATTCTCTATGAGCTCAATACATGCTGGTTATTTGCTGACAATCTACTTTTGATGCAAAAATGGTGAAACTTTAAATTGTGATTAACTGGTACACATTAGACTTGGGTAAACAGGGACATTAATTTAGAAACTCTTGGATTGCTGAGTTTTCCAGGCAAAATCTCTTATCTTCAAATGAACACACTCATTGCATTAAGTATTTTAGTTAACTCAACTACAACATCTTCCATAGGAGTTTGAGGGGGTTTTGTTGCTTTTTACTCCTTTAAAACTTCACAGCTGAGACACCGCAGACTCAGTATAACCTTATCTCCACTGTTATCCTGAAAGTACATATCTAAAGCCCCAGGAAACACACAGGCAGAAGGAAAGAGACTAAAAGAGCATATATGTGAGGCTGTGAGTTGGTGAGCCAGAGTGAGCGAAAAGAGTGGGTCCTGAAACTCAAGCCCTCCAGAAATCAATTGTACAAACTTCTCCATGAGTGCTCTCCTTTGCCCCCTGTAAGTTCTGAACCAGTCAAATCAATTCCCAGGCATGTGTGTCTTTGTGCACCTCCATGTTATTTCGACAGAGGAGAGCTGGAGGAGGACAACGCAGATGGAGGAAGGAGAAAAGACCGATGGAAGTAAACGATAAGAAATTCTTCAGATCAGATATCCTAAATGTCACCGGTGTTGTAAGCTATCACACAGTGGTAAATGTCGCATTGCTCTTTATTTTTCCACCTGAAAATAAAAGCATGATGCATCTTTATTACATGTGAATATTACATTGAGTGCAGGAGTTACATGTTGATTTTTATTTATTTATTTTTTTTTTTTTGGTAATGCATCACATCTGCCTCATGCATCTCACAGCTGTATTCTTGCTGTGGTAACAGTGCATCATTTTTTTTTTTCCATCTCACCAGACTGTTATCCAAAAATATTTAGTGATTCATGGCTTAAGGGTGAGTAATGATACTGAGAGTATTTATCTCTCTGCGTGTTCCCACTTTAAACACGGGAAGAAATTATACATTTGTGACTACAGAGGAGAGTTGTGAATCAAGTTTATTGATCTGTTGGGAAATACAATCAGTTGTTTTCTTTCTATTCAGAATTATCTCTCGTGTGCTTTTATTTCTTTGCTCTCTGCTTAGAAACCATGAGGGAAGCATATATTACATATCCTAACTTTGATTTCTACAACTTTTCACAGAAGACAGTAGACAGGGCAGAGTGTTTCCTTTATTAAGGCCTCCCACAACTGGGACTTAGAGGGAGATTTTGGCGTCACGCCTCCCTGCCACGGTTTCTGTAAATCGGCTTTCTGTGGCCATGACAGTCATTAGCCTTGCCCCTGGCGGTAATCCGCTACTTTCTGTCTCTAATGGAAGTAGGAGGTAAAATTCACTCGTTTCTACATTAGCTTGGTCTCATAGCGAACCTGCAGGCTGTTCACAACCAACTTTTGTGCACCTGGCTGTTTTTTTTGTGCAAAGCAGTACATGAAAAACAGAAGATTTTACTCTCATTTGACTTAATTGTCTCAAGAAAGGCTTGGAATTGAAGAGATATAGAAAGTAATTGTTTAAAACAAAATAAAGAGTTTTAATGAATAACTAGCACTCAAGCACAACTCCTTCTATTGCTACAGTCATAAAATAACTTATGTAATAATCAAGCATGAAGAGGTGAAAATGTAACTTAGGTTTGTTTGAAAGGGAATTGGACAAGGAATAGCAAACAGGTTAAAAACAATGCAATATTGTCCAAATAATAGCATGACAAAAAAAGCTAGTAAAACAACAAAGTTGCTTAGACGTGCTACTTAAGTGCTTATATCTCAACTCAATGAAGGTTAAAAAATAGTAACTGTCAACCAGTGGGCTGCAGGCCAAATCTGCTTCACATGCTCAATCCATCTGAACTCAGTAGAAATAAATTATAGGAAAAATTACGCACAAACGTTCAAGTTTTAATCCTGATTGGAGCAGGTTAATGAAGGAAGATCCTCAAACAATAACACTTTACAGAAAGAGGACGTCCTGCTGAGGATGTAAAAGCTTGAGTTTACGTAACTTAATAAATTCAAATGAGAAGCTGGACATTGCTTGAATTAGCATTAGTTATGTGAAGGGGTTATAAGGTTATTACATCCTAAAACATTTAAGTTTTAGAGCATAATAAAATCTAATTAAGTTCAGAACCTAGGAAGGATTCTTTTACCGCTGACCGAAGTGAAAAAGATGCCATATGTCATTTTGTTTTTACTGAACAGTGATTTTTGTGTTCAGATAATAAATAATATCGCACAGGAAGTGGTCACTTAGTTATTTTAGCTTAATTAAAGTCTGCCAAAGGTCCAATAAGATTGAAAATACACAATTTATATTACAGTGTCTTGCAAACAAGTGATAGCTTCAAATTATTGAATAAGGGAGTTTTGTTCACAGAAACATCTTCTAGAAGAGCAATTAAAGTGTAAAAATATTGCCTATAAAATATTATGCATATAAATATATAATATATGTTTAAATACAACATAAATATATGATATTTATATTATACAACTTAAGCTCTAGTAGAGTTATGAAATGCTGAATGGTCCAAGGTTATGCTCTCTGACAAAGTATATTTTGCATTTCCTCTGGAAATTAAGGTCCCAAACAAAGTCAGGAAAAGGAAGAGAGGAGAGGCATATAATCCACGTTGCTTGAGGTTCAGTCTAAAGTTTCCACAGTCAGTGACGGTTTGGGATGCCATGTCTTCTGCTGGTGTAGGTCAACTGTGTTTTCTGAGGTCCAAGGTCAACACAGCCATCTACCAGGAAGTTTTAGAGCATTTCATGCTTCCTGCTGCTGATCAACTTTATGGAGAGGCAGATTTAATTTTCCAACAGCTCTTGGCACCTGTATAAAGTGCCAAAGCTACCAATACCTGGCTTATGGACCCCTGTTCTTAATTGGCCAGCAAACTCAGCTGATCTTAACCCCATTGAAAATCTGGGGGACATTGTGAAGTGGAAGATGCGATACGCCAGACCCAACAATTCTCAAGAGCTGAAGGTCACAATCAGAGCAACCTAGGCTCTCATAACACATGAGCAGTGCCACAGACTGATCGACGTCATGTCACACCACATTGCTGCAATAATACAGGCAAAAGGAGCCTCTACTATGTACTAAGTACTCATACTTTTCATGCTCTTTTCAATTGGCCAACATTTCTAAAAATCCCTTTTTTGATTGATCTTAAGTAATATTCTACTTTTTCTAAGATACAAAACTTGGGGTTTTCATTAATCACAAGTTATAATCATCAACATTAAAGGAAAGAATTTTGAAATATATCAGCCTGTGTGTAATGGATGAAAATAACATACGAGTTTCACTTTTTGAATGGAATTACTGACATAAAATAAATGCTGGCAATATTTGTTGAGTTGCAGTTCAAGACTCACTGCATACAGATTTGAAGAAAGTCCACAAGTTGTCAATGAAACCCACAGTTCACTTTGTGACAAGTGCAAATTGCATCCAGAGGGGGTCCAAGGGTGGGTCAGATCTGTCATCAGCTATGTGATCAGGCAATTAGTTCTCTCACTTACTTCCAATGTATGGAGAGCAGCCAGCTGTGAGAGATGGGTTAGTTTAAAGGTGAGAACAGCTGATTTTCTCACACAGCCACTGACTGTGAATGTTGGCACACTATGAGAAAGTTAATGTCCACACATTGTCACATGCAAATTATTGTATAGTATAGCTGTCCACATTTAATATGACTGGTTGTATCAGTTTATTAAATATGATATTTTGAGAAGTTAAAAACATTACATGGGTTTAGAAAGCAAGAAGGTCGACCTAATATTTTCGCTCTGGTTGTTTCTTTTGATCATTAACAAAGTGCATCTAATCCAACTCAGAAGTAGGAAATTTAACTTCAGTTACAACAGAGGAATATTTAACCATGTGCCCTGATTCTTAGCTCCATGCTGCTCTTGAGCATCAGTCTGTGCATCTGCTGGGCCAGCAGGAATCCATACTTAGGAAGTGTCACAGATGGAAGACATTTTATTACTGTTCTGTTTGACGAAGGGTCGACT